TGTGTTGCACTCAGCCATTGCCGGTAATAGCAGCCTGAGGAGACACAAATTGTGCTGTGTGCTTCAGAGCGATGCGAGGAAATTGGGCCCTTTGGTAGATAATCAAGCATATTCATTTTCATTTAGGTGTTGGATAAAAAGGATGATTTTGCATAAAAGGAAAACTACCAGTCGCTAATTATTTTGAATTGCGAGGCCTGCGATTTCACTGGGAGCTGCAGAAATCCAGGTGCCCGACTCCTAAAAAGAAAAAAAAAAAAAAATCGCATACCCTGCGCTCCCAGGCAGTGCAATTTTCCTGGTTTTCCTTTTTCCATCTGCTTCTCTCCCTGAGCAGTAGGAAACCCAGTGCTGGCACAGTGTGTTGTGAGAGTGGGTGAAGACTGAGGTCGATGTGTTTGAAGCGTTAGCAAGCACCGGCTGGTGATAGCTTCTCCCCATGGCACCACCAAGTGTTCTCTCCAGCGGTCTTGGGCTAGATGGCTTGTGCCTCCCTGTGCAAGGGGTTAGGCTCAATAAAAGGAGGTCTCAAACATTTTTTTATTCCTATTCCCTTGAGCCCTGTCCTGCTTGGACACTCTCGTGTACCTGGACCATGAGAAGGGGAAGAAATGGGTGATGGTGCTGAGTCAGGAAGGAAAGGCAATCTTCAGCCATTGCATCCCAAACGGGCTGCGTCGTAGCAGTCCCCATCCACTGGACCTGGCTCAGGGCTGAGTGTCCTGCCAGACCCTGGTCCTGCTTTGTCACCTCTTGTCTCTGCCCATATCCCCGGCAGGGTCACCCTTTCCCTCCAGTCTCCTTGAGTCTCCCATCACCTCCTCCAAAGCAGACACTGTCTGTTCTCCAAGCCTCTGCCATGGGTCGGGGCAATCCCTTGGGGTTGCTGCCCTGTCCCATGGGTGGTGGCAAACAGCGCAGAGAGCAAGCATGGATTTCTACATTTCTTCATGAAACTGCGTGGCCGTGATACCTGGGATGCTGTCGCATGCAGTGCTCAGAGCTGGTGGCATCCATTTGTCAGTGTGCCCGGCTTTATTCCAGGTTACGCTGATCCTTGAAGCCAGGCTGCCACCAGGAATGATTTGCTATTAACCTTCGTGATAGGGTGCGCTTGTTCCAGGTGGGTGCTCAGCAAGCGAAGGTCATGTCTGGCACCAAATGTCTGCATAATTTCAAATCTGGCTCCGTGTTTGTGTCTGCCTGATCCCTGGGATGGGTAGATGATGATTCTTTCCCTGTTCTTGCAAAGTCCCCTTGCAAGTAGCGTGTAAGCAAGCCCGTCTGTGGGTAGGAGACTCAAACCAAGCAGCCCTTCCCTTTTGCTTGATAGAAACCATAGCAGGCTGGAGGGAAGTTCCTCCTTTGAAGAAGACCTGATCTATTCACGGCCAACGGAGAGTCAACAGACCCTTGCTGGCTGATTGTAATGGCTGAGGCCGGGTGATGGAAGGAGCCTTTTAACTACCATAGCAGAGAGATATCGAGCTGCAGGCTACAAGGGGAAGGGTGTGCTGAGCCTTGCCAACAGCATTGCCTTTGTCGTGGCTCCAGTAACAAAGGTGGGATGCAGGATGCAATTGTCCTTCTAAAGGGCATCATCGGTGATGGCTGCTCTTCCCTTTGGGGCCAGGAGGAGGAAAACTGGTTAAGAGGAAAGGACGTGGGAGCAGTGTCAGTTAGGATCGTGGGTGGAAAAGAGTGGCTGGTGGTTGGGCATCAGGTTGCTTTGGGTGGGTTTGGTGGCAGCAGAGCATCCGGGCATACCCAGCCATCTGTTGGACGGGAGAGCCCCAGGCATGGCTGTGCGGACCTGTGGCTTTGCTGCAGCTTAACACTTAATTGCAAGGTGAGTCGGTAGGAGCAAAGGGCTATGAGCCAGACAGAGACACATTGATCAAGAGCAGGGAAGGTCACTGAGCCAAATTTTAAGCCTTTCGGCCTCTTCTATGCTGCGAAAAAGCAGTGAAGTTGGATGCCTCAGGGTCTGCTTGCTGGCAAAGTGGCTGTAACGGCTGAGCCTGGGCTCCAGCCTGCACGCAAAGGGAGGAAAAGCCCGCTTTACTCTCATCGCTCAGCTTGCGGCTTGCTTGAGGGAGGCAGTGCGCGGTAAGAAATGCAAATAAAAAGAGGATATTCAGGCCTCGGGAGGAGGCGAGAGAGCAAAGCACCCCAGAAGAGCTGGCAGAGCCTGAAATGATTTCTAAAGAGCAATATTGTGGAAGAGGGAGAAAGTCAGCGCTTGTGCCAACGCCAGAGCAGGTGGGAGGCAGCGCGCTTCGTGGAGGGGCTGTCGCCTGGCTCTCGTTTAATTTTTCATGAACTGCGGGTCTGTGCTTCACTGAGCACGCGGGTGCCGCCGTGCCCGTTCCCACCGCTCCTGCCAGGCTGTGCCGGAGTTACACACTGCGTGCAGTTATACCCCGAACAAAGGAGACGCCAAAAACAGTCCATGGGAGAGAGGAGGTTACGTCAGGACAGAGCAGCTAGAAACACCGGAAAATCAAGTTAGCCAGCCATTCTGTGACCTACTTTCCTTTTGGCGATAGCTGGGGCTTTGCAGGGGTGAATGGTTTCTAATTTTAGCTTATGGTTCATCAGGGAAGTCTATATATTTTTTTCTCACTGCCGTACTGGGTATGGATGAGGGGTTGGCATGCAGGTTGGCGCTGCCCTAGATGAGATTTTCTCAGAATTCAGGTTTTCTGATGCTCAACACCTATCACGCTGGTTTTCCCTCTTGTGACCTATTTAACGTGTACGATTTGAAAAGTTCCTTGGCGTCGGGGAGGATAATTGTGGGAAACGTGACCTGTAATCCCCTCTTCTTATGCTCTGCTGGACAAGTAATTGATTTTCAGGAAAAAAAATAGTTGACTGTACAGATTCTGCTGGAGAAGAGCAGAGAGAAGCTGCTCTGGACTGAGGTGAAATCCTGTACTGTGGGGCTGTGGTTGTATTTGGGAAGGTTTTAGGAGACTTGGTTTATAGAGAGGCAGTTGATGTCCTTATTCCTGGTCACTCGAGATCCGGGTGCCTCCTGCCCTGTGTAGGTGCTGACCAGAGCCACTCTACCTTGTCTCTGAAGATGAGCTGTGAAGCTGCATCTGAAAAAGTACCTGTTGGGAAATGTTTGCAGTGTAACACAGAAAACCACAAGTGTGTGCTTCCAAGCCAAGATTTCAACTGTGAGTGCAAGCTGTACCATTTCTGAGAGAATGTATGAGAATGGAAGTTAACATTTTTGCTACAATCCGTAAACTAAACTGAGAATAAATAGTGGGTAGCATTTTCAAAAGCATCCAAGCCCTATTTTCCAAAGTCCTTTTAGTCCTTGAAGAGACAGAATAACGTTTGAAAACAGTGATGGATGCTAAAATCACCGAGGTCATTCAGAAGGTGCAAGGGGGAGGTCTCAGAGGACTGTTTCGGCAGCAGGGCGCATGGGTGTGGGATGGGGTGCATTTGCCAGTCCCCTCACCCCCTCTGTGGGAGCAGGGTGCTGGCAGGATGGTGCAGAGCTACCTGGGGAACTCAGGTCGTGACGGGCACCTCAGTTGCTGCTAGAGGCTGACAGCAATGCGGGCATTGGGGATCTCCTACGTTGAACTGTATGAGTGACCTTTGGTGTCTCCCCTGCAGGGGGAAGCTGATCCCTGCGGGGTCTGGCGCCCCTAAGGTGGTGGCTGTGTGGCACAGTCTACTTTTGGGCTTTAATTTGCCCCTCTGGGATGCATTATTGTGTCGGCAGAATTTAGGTACCTTCCCCTGAAATCCCCATAACCCCATCCTCTGTGCATATTTTTAGCTGTGGCTTTAATCCACTGGGCTGTTCGCAGGATTCCTTGCATCTGTCTTCCCCTGAAATTGGTTGAGCATACCTGGGCTTGAAGATGTTTTTGTGCTTTAAATGGAAATTTCCAGGTCCCTTGCTAAGCGTGGGGAGGACGGCAGCGTTGGTGTTGCTCCAAATTGCTCTCTGTGCCTTTCCTGGGAGGCTGTGCTGGCTGAGCTCTCCTTGTCAGCCTGTCCTGGAGGATGCTGCGCTGCGGCACCCCTGGCCGTGCCAGCAGCCCACCGGCGTGTGACTTTGCTGGGGGAATTCTCCTCCAAGTCTTCTGCATGCCCAAAGTCCCTATCAGCTACCGTACACACATGTAGGCAGGCGTGCTCGTGCCTTCTCTGTGACTGTCACAACAGATCCGGGTGGTTGAAGGCTCTCTGCAGACCTGCTCTGCATTGGAGCCAGGCAGGATTCCTGCTTGGAGACCAGCAGGTAAAAAGCAGCTTCACTCCTTGTGTCAGACCTGTCCCTGCAAAAAAGTGCATGTCGCCCTTCCTCTAAAACATTGAGCTCATTTATCGGAGAGGTCATTTCAGGACATGGAGTGACTTCGCTCTCCACCGCCGTGCCGGAGAGGGGACGCTGCATGCTGCGACCCACCGCAGTGTGGCAAGGGCTGGGACGAGTTCCCCCCGTGTCACCCCTGCATGCTGTGAGTGC